CAAATCTTGTGCAAAAGACGGCACTGGGCTTCTCCGCCTTGTATTCTTTCCAATACGTCAAAATTGGTACTTCCTAACTACTACACCTGCCTCTGAGGCAAACTTGGCAGCTTGCACTAGATCATGTGGCCTTCTATTCACCTCAGCAACAGAGATGTGCATCCTTGCTCCTCCTAGTGATTTGCTCATTTTGTCAAAAATAATTCCACGAGTTCGAGGCCTCGGCTTCCTCGCTCTTCCCAGCAATGTTATTACACAATTATCATACATTTAGATTGTTAGAAAAGTTATATGGATACCAAATAGCTAGTGCAAATTGATTGATAGACATCTGTAAGGTAATACCAACCTATGCAACTTTCATTATTCTGTGGGTGGGGGGAGATGAGAGTTTGCCGAGAGGGCTCCTCTTCAGCAGGGCTATCATCATCTGGCCATGAGGAGTCTATCTCAGGGCTAGTTAGGGTGCCATCCTGACCAATGTCTCCAGTCAATTGATGAACTTAGAATTGATCCCTGGGTCCGGGTGTCGGTCATGATGGAGAATAATATTCACCTACTGCTGTTACCTCCACCCTTTTGTCAGCGGAAGACCCCCGAGTACAAAATCCATGAGCAACCTCTTCTAGTGGTGTTGACCTCACTCGCTTGGAGAGCCTTCGCCTAGGACTCATGGCAGTGATGCCTTCTGTCCTACTGGCAGAGCCTCCTCTATGGCTTCTTCAACACAGACACTGAAATTGGAGATACGAACTTTAGCAGCAAGCATGTACAAATTCCATTGATATCCAAACAGTAAAGCATTGCATGGCTACCTACCCCCCCTGGCCCCTCCCCCCTCTAAACTAAATTTGAAACTATTTTATCTGTATCATCAAATCTCTCAACTACCTCCCCTGGTTCAGGATATATCCCAAATCTTCATCGTGTCTATCCTTTGTGCTTGACTTTTTTGCCTTTGGAGACATAGGTTTTGGGCCCACACATCGTATTCCAAGTTCTTTCATCTTTCTATGATTCCTTGTGATTTGTGCATCCTGTGTTCGTTCATAAGCAATTAGTGGCTGTTCATCTAGATTACAAATGCATTTATTAACTAAAGCAAGAGTAAGTAAATAAGCGCCTAACTAGCCATAGCTAATACGAAAGTCATTAATCCAATAAAGCACATGTTAGCTGTACTCAACTATAGGAAATATGTAACTCCATCGCTATCTACATATCCTTGGTTCAGCCTGAATACGACAGAAACAGACAAACAGTGATGTATTGTTTTCAAAGCAATTGATGGACTTCTTCCAACGGGGCATGTTAATTTCGCGTAGTTGCTACACATCGCTACCTCCTCTGGAAGTTGAGCTTCATGATGGCGAAGCCCAACAGGAAAGCAAAGAAGACGGCGAACGCCACGACCACCGTGGACACCACGCCCAACCAGCTGTGCTTGAAGCCGAAGTATTTCTCCACGAACACATTCACGGGGACGCCGTTGTCCATGGGCGTCGTGATGTCCCCGAACTGAGACACGACCAGCACGTACAGCGTCCACGCCACAGGGCACGCCCAACAGTACCACTTCCACCACATTGGGACTTTCTGAGCATGTTGCCATGCCCAAAAGGGAAATGAGTTCCACAACTAGCCACAAAATTAAATTTGTAGACGTGGGCAATTGATGGGGATGGAGCAATAACGGGACTTACCGGCCGAGGGATGATGAATCCAGAGAAGAGGTTCCAGATACCATAGAACGCCGAGGAGACGATCGACGTGACATGGTAGCTCGGCGTCAAGCCCACAGCCATCATGCCATAGAATGTGAAATAGAGAAAGGTGAAGTACATGAAGAAGAGGTACCAGAAGAATTTGGCAACTGTCCATTCGAACCCAATCATCGAGTACACTATGATCCCGTATATGGTGGCCTGAGCCAGAGTGTATGGGAGTTCAATGGTGTGTGTGTGTGTGTATACACACACACAGAAGTATTAGCGATGTCGTTAGTGGTCTCTCATTGATAGAAGGTACTATATCAGGAGTTTATATGAGAGCCACTCACCTGTCCAAATGCATATGGCAGAGCCGAGTACATGCCGGCAGCTCTTTCACGGTAAAACACGGTCCGCTCCACAGAGACTACTGGCTGGACAGATGTAGCATTCAAGACGCCGATGAACATCACTGCAGCATACATGGACCCCATGGCGTTGAACAAATCTTGTGATTGACCCCAGGTAGGTAAAGAATCCAAAGGTTGAGATTCTTTTCTTTTTCTTTGGGATGTTCACTTCACACACTAGATAGGTGCGATGTGGCAGATACTTACATTTTACCACCAAGGTCCCAGAAGATGGTGCCGAAGATAAGTGCTATGATAGTTGTGAAAAATAGCCTAACGGCATTGTAAGCAGGGTTCCTCCAATATGACAGGTTCTGCTTCCACAAGCAAGCAAGGCATTGCATGAAGAAAGACTGAGAGTACTGGTTACGGAAATGAAGGTCAGTTGAGCCTGCTGGTGGTTCACTTAACTCTTGTATCAAGGCCTTGTTCCTCCTGAAGAATACAATATTATAATCATGGTTATCATGGTGTAGCAATGATGTGGCAAGAAGAAAATTTCAGGAAAGTAGACACTGGTTATGAACTTATCATACATACCAGTTCTATTAAAAAAAGTGTTCATGGTGATAGCAAAGTTAAAAACAAATCTCCAAGATGCAAAATGAGTCAAATATTTTCCTCGCCAATAATAACACTAACAATTTCACACTTTTATAAGACGTGTAACAGTTTCTCGATAAAACAAATACAAAACATACAGACCTACTCCCTCTCTCTTTTTAACTGTCGCTATGGTATTCATGTTAATCAAACTTTCTTATATTTGACTAGGTTTGTAGAAAATATTAGCAACATTAATAAGTAAATTATGAAAATAGATTCAAGGATCTATCTAATGATACTAATTATGTACCATAAATATTAATACTTTCTTATATATATTTGGTTAAAGTTGATGACGTTTGACTTCTTGGGAAGTGAGAACGACAGTTAAAAAGGGACGGAGGGAGTAGTCATCAAAATGGTGACTCTATTGAACAAATAAGAGTGGTAGGGTGTGTGTACGTGCTTTTATAGGAATGAATGTGCATATATGTATAAAGAAATTATATTTCAAACCAAAAGCAAAATGACGAAAGTATGTTTGAACTTTTGATGTTTTTTCAATTTGTTCAAAACTAAATTGAGAATGCAATATAAGAAGTCTGACTTCTAGCTCCAACCTTTAACATTTTAAACTTTACAAAAATCCAATTAGATTAAAATGCTCTCCCCCTAGTCCTGAGTACACTAGTTAGACCAGTGAAGTCCGAGAATCATGAAATCCCCGTCACTGATCCAGGTTCAAATGCTTTTGTCATCAAGTGTATTAGATCACATGTTATAGCACAGATATTTGTTACAAGCTGCAATTTTTTTTTCAAGGGAACAAACTAGAAGCTAAAGTTTCAGTACCAACTACAAAGAATTTGTAAGTTCAGAGGGTATTTAAATGGCACCACAACTGCAGGATAGATTAGACCCATATTGTAAGGGTTAATAAAGACTTCCGGCATAGATTTTGCTCATAAGGGCAGCAGGCTGCTAGTGGTGTAGTTTAAACCAAAGACCACATAGGGCAATAGGAAATTCTGGGGAAGAAGTGAATAGGAGGGTTGTAAGTTACTCACTGGTATAATTCAGATTTCTTGTACAGGTCACTAAAATCAACACCTAGCATCTGTTCTTGCGAGACTGTTGTTACTTCTAACATCCATGTTGCTGGATTGTAGCCATCTTTAATTTTCTTGACTCCGTGAATTCCGTATACAATATGAGCAATACAATGTAATCAGCAAATTGAAGCAATAAAGTCAAACGATTTTTTTTAAAAAAAATTATTGCAATACTAATATCATGACACCTCAAAATACTTAATCAGCTCAGAAGAATGATGGCCTAGTGGACCAACATAGATCTCCTCTCCTCCTCGCTTCATAAGAAAAAGCTGCAACAATTCATCAAACACCTTAGGCTTTGCAACATTGTTTCATATCATATTTATAAGACCAACCACGATCAATTAGATTTCAAAATCAGCCTAGTTACCCAGATGGAAAGTAATGATAAGAAGAAATCACTGGAAAGTACAAAGATCCACCACAAACTCACCTCATCGAATGCTTCAAATATGTCAATGCTAGGCTGATGAATCGTGCAGACTACAGTTCTACCTGTATCAACAATATTCCTCACTGTTCTCAACAATTGCAGCTGCTCGGGCATCAAGACCAGAGGTTGGCTCATCCATGAAAATGATTGAGGGATTTGCAACCAGATCCACAGCAATGGTCAGTCTTTTCCTCTGCTGACCATTCACACCAGGAAGGCCAACCAAAGCATTTCTCAATGACTTGAGCTCCACAAGCTCCATGACCTCCTCAATGAACATCTGCGTGCATAAAGGTAAGCAATGTTGTCAAATATATCAAGTATAGATAGAGGTTGGAAGTTGAATCATCTATTCTGTTTGGCTGACCTTTCTGGTGTTTGAATCTACATCCCTAGGAAGGCGGAGCCACGCTGAGAAAACAAGTGATTCATAGACTGTCACCTGTGGCGAGTGGATATCATTTTGCTCACAATATCCTGATACACGTGCAAAGGTCTCTTGTTTCTTTGGGTATCCTGAAATGCTAATGTTTCCTTCAATGTAACCACTGGTCTTTCTCCCAGCCAACACATCCATTAGAGTTGTCTTGCCAGCACCACTAACGCCCATCAGTGCCGTCAGCACTCCTGGTCTGAAAGATCCACTAACACATTTGAGGAGCTCTAACCGGTCCCCGACTACATCATGTGTTTTCATCTCCTGAATTTGAGTTTGATCAAAAGATTACTTTGTCTGATTGTTAATTGCTCACTACTGATGATATACAGAAATAATTTCAATACTTACCTGGGGCATGTCAACAAAGTACTTGATGTTATTGAAAGTCAGTGAAAGCGGGGAAAATGGAAGAACCATACCCCTTTGCATAGTACCAGAATGATTTTCAACAGTTGCTGAACCGGATCTAGTGATGCCGACTGTTGCTAGATAGCTACTTCCTGGTGGCAAGTTATCTTCAGCCACAGCATTACCATTGAGGTTTGCATACTTCTCCTTCAGTTCCTCTTCAGATATCGATGGATGGGACTTGCCATATGCTGTAAACTCATAAACCAATTTAAGGTATTTTCAAATGCAAGAACCAAGAGCAAACCAGTCCTAGAGGAACTCACGCTTCAGGTACGCTAGGGCAAGCGTAAAAAGACAATTGAAGAGCATGACAAATCCAAGCAATGCGCCTAGGCCGATCCAATACCACTTTGCTTCTGGAAAGACTCCGCGGGACTTAAGGGATTGCACACCTAGGGTCTCATTAGACACGGAGCTATTCAAAAATTTGTCCCAGCTGTGCCCTAGCATCTCATTTACAGAGATGGCATTCTGGGCATACATCAATGGGGAGATCCAGTAGCCCCATATCCACCACTTCTTCACTTTATCTGCCAATTCACAAAGAAAGAAGCACCCGCCTTTTGAAAAGAGGAGCAATAAATAATACTATCTATGGAAAAAAAAACGGTGAGATTATTCTCTTCTTTTTTAAAAAAAAATGGTGAGGCTGTACCTCTTACTAGGATAAATCCATCCAACACCATAAATATTAGCAGCATGAATGATCCAAAGACATTTGCAACAATCATGTTCCTTGCTGCCCCACCAACAAATCGGAAGAGTGATGCTGCCATCTGGTTGAGTGCTAACAAAAGGAGATACTGCTTGAAGAACCTAGCATTTTTCACTGACAGCTAATGTTCATGAATTGAAGTTAATATATTTCGATGGAGAGCCAAGTATATATGTAAGAGAAAGTTCAACACAGACTGTTGGTCGGTAGAAGATGAGCAAGTAAATTGAAAACTTAGAGCCGATACGCCACACAAGCTAGAAGTGACCATGGTAAAAACAGAAAGGAAGGTTACCCATACTAAAATTATGTATATCTCTACCTGTTGTGACACGCTTCCGTTGTCCACCAGAGATGCCCCTCAACATCTCATCTCCCACCATCGTGTCAGCACATATTTCTAATCCTAATATCTACAACACCAGATGTATAAATGCTGAATAGTGGACAAGAAAACTTTGGTAGCTCAATGTGAAAGTTGTAAGTCAAATACCTTCAATATATAGTCAGAGATCACATTAGCTTCCTGTCCTCGCATTGAACAAGCCTGAACAAGATCAGCAGAAAAGTAAGCTATGTCCTTAGCTACTATGTAAGTTATCATTAAAAATAGAACCAAAATCATCAGATATTCTTGATTTATCTAAGATTGTAAAGCCATGCCTTCATGAATGCATCGATATCGGCATCAGGCTTGATATTTCCCACCTTCTCCCGCCTTGAAAGCTCAGTCAACATATCTGCCAACATAACAAGAACTTGATAAATACATCAATTAAACAGGCCAATCCTGCAGAATCTGCAAGCAGCAGAAATGAACGCAAACCCTTGTGAGTAATTGTTCAGAGTCATACTGAAGCGAGTGCCAACACCTTGACAACGTGCAGAGAATTCAAGCGTCTCTCTGACAGTCATCTCTTCGATGTGAAGGTCATGCTGGCTGATATACGCGGCTGTCCTCTCCGGCACAAACTCATCCATTTCATGCCCATTGTAGGTCACTTTGCCTGAAACCTGCTCATCATTTGACCCAATTATTACCCAATGTCGTATGTACCAAAGTTCACTGTGAAATATTCGGCCAATGGGTCCGCTTCTCGGCAAAAATTCGGCCAGGCAGATGACATTATAACGACATAACTCCTGGACCGGTCCAGATAGCTAACGACATGCCGAAAGAGCGATCCAGTCTCCGACCGGAAGGCCTGGCCCCGGAAATACACCGAGCCTCTGCTTACAACCCTTCTCCGACCGGCGCGGTCGGAGCCGACTGGGAAAGACCGATCGGAGACGCCCGCTCGGTGAGGGTCTAAGAAGCAGGCGGAGCAGATAAGGTAAGGCGTTCAAAGTCAACCGCAATACTGAGTACCATACCCTGCACACCTGTAGGACAGTACCATCAGACCATGCTAAAAGGGTGCTTTGCAACCCTTCAGACAAGTCAGAACACGAACAGTGTTGTGGGCGTCGACATTTGTCCTACAGTATGGTAGGCGACGACATTTGCCATACCAGAAGAACACGATGCAGCCTACCACATGCATCTGGGCGTCAACAATATTGTGGGCGCCGACAAACTATCTTGTATCCGACGGCGTGGGCAACAAGACTAGGAAACACACACATTCTCTCTCTCTCCTAACTTGTAAGGCCGTCCCCTTCACCTATAAAAGGGGATGCGCTCTCTCCTAAAAGAAACATGTTCATTCCGACTTTCTCTCGGCTAATCTTTAAACATTCTGAGCACTCGAACAGCTCCATAGCTCTAGAACTCTAGAGCTACACAGAGCATATGTTTCAATACTTAGCGCACGTTGGAGCTTCCATTACTCTCGCCCCTTCGGTCCAGAGTCCGACCGGACCTTCGACACCCCTCTTCTCATTAATATTCGTTTGTAACCCCCACAGCAAACTTTGAGCACCCAGGCTCAGGAATAAAGTCACCGACCGACTAAAACTGGACGTAGGGCACGTTGTCTGAACCAGTATAAACCCTGTGTCATTGAGTGCTATGCCACATTCGATCACAACGTACGGCAAAACGACAAATATTTACTTGTTGGTCACTTTTCGCATCGATAGTTGGCGCCGTCAGTGGGGAGCACGCCGTACGTTCACGCTTTTGGTCATCGGATGGGCCACCTTTCCACCATCTTTGTCATGATAGGCTCAAGCGATATGACTCGCTTCGGCTCGCTGCAGTTTCCCATGCTCCCACCTGTTGGGATGTGGGTTCCTCCCGTCTTCGAGCCGTCCCAGACCTTCCTCTTAGGAAGCCTGGACTTCGTCGCCGGCCAGCTCGGCGTGCTTCGCCTTTGCGAGGAGGCACTTGTCTCGGCGCCCGTCGGAGGAGGAGCGCCCTCCATCGGCTCTGGGCCACCCAGCGACCTCAACGACAAGACACCTGTGCTTCGCTCTGAACCCACGCTGGGCTCAAACCCCACTATGAGTAACGTACATATTGTTCCTTACTCGCTATTTAATATCTTCCGCCGACTCTCCAGAGGGACCCCATTGTCTCCACCGCGACCGCCATGCGACCAGTTCCCCTACGGTCTCGTATCCCCCGCAGACGCGTATGCTCGGGGGCTCCGAAAGATGCTGACACCGCCCCCTCTCACATCCGAATTCGTGGGGATGGCGGGCTACGCTCCCGCCTCTTTCCACAACCTCATGGATGACGAGGTTGAAAGCGATGGCTCCAGCATCGGCGACGTCGTGGCACCTAGCCACCCTCTGTCCCAGGAGTACGCTATGGCAGACGCTCCGAGACAGCCGCCGGTGGTAGCGGAGTCCCTATAGACTCACACCCCTCTATACCCTTGTGCGGAGGCCCTCGCTCGTGCATAAGAGGCAGCCGCCAGCTGCGCCGGCGCACTCAGGGTACCACGCGCACACATAACCCGACGAGCGGCACCCGGGGTCGTGCCCGCCAGGTCCAGCGCAACATCATGGATGGAGGAAACAATCCCCCACAGTTCGCTCGGGCTGGCCAGAACATCACCGTTGCGGTGATGCTTCTGCACGGCCTTCCCGAGCCTAACGACCACCAGGAGCAGACGATCCACCGGAACCTCCGGGCGCTGGTGGAAACCACCGCTGTCCAACAGGTGGAGAGCTCCGCGTCGCGACACCGACTCGTGGCCTCTCTCTCCACCGAGGGAATGGGGGCGCACCAGTCAAACTGTTCCATCCGCTCACCGCTACAGTCGCCGGGCATGTAATAGGAGGCTGCAGCTGCACCATGGCTTGACCCGGCGCCAGCTCCACACCGACCACCTGTGCGTGAACGGCTCGGGCCAAACCAAGCCGCTTGCAGCGTCATCAACAATCGGTGTCAAGTCCAGCGTGATGATGAAGTCCATCATGGGGCGGTATATGGCTCGAAGACTTCTAGCTTGCCTGCCGAGCCAGGGGAGTGGATGATGACCATTTCATCATTCAATACCTCCCCATCTGCGTGGGGGAGCATGTTCGAGCATGGCTCGAATTCCTCTCGCCTGACAGCATCCGCGACTGGGCGGACCTCAAAAGGATCTTCATCGGGAATTTCCAGGGGACGTATGTTCGTCCTGGGAATTCTTGGGACCTCAAGAGCTGCCAGCAGGAGCCCAACGAGTCCCTACGGGATTACATCCGTAGGTTCTCAAAAGGATCTTCCTAATGTCGTTGACGTGGGCGTCATCAGCGCGTTCCTCTCTGGAACAACCTGTGAATCCTTGATCCACAAGCTTGGCTGTCTAAAGCCCCATACCACCCGCGACCTACTCGATGTCACCACAAACCATGCCTCCGGAGAGGAGGCGGTCGAAGCAGTCTTTAGTGGAGGCCGGGACAAGGGCAAAGCCAAGCGCAAGGACCAAGACGAGGGCCCCTCAACACAAAGGGGCAAAAAGAACAAAAAGGATCGGCGCTGGCTAGCCAACTCCGCTTTGGTCCCCATGGCCAATCGTGCGGGCAAGCAGCCCCAGCACAGCTAGCTTGACCACTTCGACAAGCTCATGGATAGCCCATGCACCAACCACACCTACCCCATTAAGCACCTCTACAAGGACTGTGAACTCCTCAAGCGCTTTCTGCGACAGGCTAGCGGACCGAAAGAAGGAAAGGGAAAGGAGACAGTGGCCAAGAAAGGAGGCGTGGCGGGCAATGATGGGGACAGCTTTCCTGATCTCGAGGAATGACTCATAATCTTCGGGGGATCTGATGCCATCTACTCCAAGCGCCAGCACAAAGTGCACTATAGAGAGGCATGCAACACCGAAATGGCCGTCCCCTCTTTCCTTAGCTGGTCAGAATCTCTGATCACTTTTGATCAGAGGGACCATCCTTCCCACGTCGCCAGACCGGGTCGCTACCCGCTCGTCATCGACCCCATTGTCTGCAAGAAGTGCCTCACCAAGGTGCTGATGGACGGAGGCAGCGGCATCAACATTCTCTACGTCAACACCCTCATTGCATGTGCATCCCTCGGTCGGAGCTCCGCCCAGTGAGCTCTCCCTTCCATGGCATGATCCCGGGGACGCAGGCATACCCGCTCGGGCAGATCAACCTGCCCATCACGTTTGGTGACCAAGCCAACTTCCGCTTGGAGGTCCTCACCTTCGAGGTGGTGGACTTCCCAGGGACCTACCACGCCATCTTGGGGCGGCCAAGCTACGCCAAGTTCATGGCGATCCCCAACTACACCTACCTCAAGTTGAAGATGCTGAGACCGAACGGCGTCATCACTGTGGGTAGCACCTTTTCGCACGCCTACATGTGCGACCGCGAGCATTATGAGCTCACCACTGCCGTCATCAACTCAGCCGAGCTCCCTCAGCTCAAAAATTCATCTACTCCGATAGTCCTAGACTGCAACAAGGTGAACCTTCTCGACTGCCTTCCGCCTGATCGAGGAAACTAAGGCGGTGGGGATCGACCCCACTGACCCAACCAAGACGGTGTGGATCGGGACCAAGCTCCCGACCAAATAGGAATGTGAGCTCGCCGACTTTCTATGCGCCAATCGCGATGTCTTCGCATGGAAACCTTTTGACATGCCGGGCATATAGCGGGAGGTAGCCGAGCACGCATTACGCCTAGTCCCAGGCTCAAGACCCACCAAGCAACGACTGTGTCACTTTGATGACGAGAGGCGTAGGGCCATAGGCGACGAGGTCACCAAACTCCTGGTGTCTGGATTCATCAAGGAGGTATACCACTCTGATTAGCTTGCCAATCCTATTCTAGTTAAAAAGAAGACTAGGAAATGGAAAATATGCGTTGATTATACTGGCCTCAACAAGTGTGTCCAAAGGACCATTTTCCTTTGCCACGCATAGACCAAATAGTCGACTCCATCTCAGGATGCGAAATCCTCTCCTTTCTGGATACCTACTCAGGCTACCACTAGATTCTGATGAAAGAGTCTGACCAGCTCGCAACTTCATTCATCACCCCGTATGGTTCGTACTGCTATGTAACCATGCCTTTCAGTCTGAAGAACGCTGGCGCCACCTATCAATGGTGCATGCAGCAATGCTTCGCCGACCAAATCGACCAGCTTGACCAGCCTGACCAAATCAAGCGGCCAAAACCAACAATCACCGTCTATGTGGATGACATAGTAGTCAAAACAGCTCAAGCTTGCGACCTGATCGCAAACTTGGCCGCGACGTTCATGAACCTCTGAAGGTTCAGCATCAAATTGAATCCCGAAAAATGTGTTTTTGGGGTTCCAAAGGGGAAGCTGCTTGGATACATCATGTCCGAACGTGGTATCAAGGCCAACCCCAAAAAAATCACAGCCATCTCCAACATGGGCCCTATACGCAACGTCAAGGGCGTACAAAGGCTCACCGGTTGTTTGGCCGCCCTAAGTCGGTTCATGTCTTAGCTAGGCGAGCAGGGAATGCCTCTCTACAAGCTTCTCAAAAAGATAGACATGTTCGTCTATACTAAGGAGGCATAGCAGGCTCTAAAAAGCCTCAAAACATCATTAACGTCGACCCAAATCCTCGTCGCTCCCGAACGTGAAGAACCCCTCCTCTATATATAGCGGCAAGCAGCCATGTCGTGAGCGCC